GTCAAGATTTCAGAAATTCAACACAAAATGAATCTTAAAAGCTGGTAGAGAAAAGAAACAAACCGCCTACAAAGGAAAGCCCATAATAATTACAGCAGACTTTTCAACACAAACCATTAAGTCAAGGAGAGCTTGGAGTGAAGTATTTCCAGTTCTAAAGGAAAACAACATTCAACCCAGACTGATGCATCCTGTAAAACTATCTTTCAAAACTGGTGGAGAAATAAGATACTACCAAACCAGCACTCAAAAACGTATTGAAGGATATTCTAGAAATAGATAACAAGGACTATAGCTCTATGAATCCCCAACAGAAGGAATCCACCAGGCAAGGTAAACAGTTAAATGGGAGGGGGGACAAAAGAGGGGGACCAACAACAGTAAAATAACATGATAAAAATAGTCAATATATATGAGTTATGACCATTAATGTTAATGGTCTCAATTCACCAACCAAAGACACAGGAAAAGTGGATCAAAAAACAAGATTCATCAATATGCTGCATACAAGAAATGCATTTAATTTAAAAAGAAGTTCAAAGACTAAAAGTCAAAGGATGGAAAACAATACTCCATGCAACAGGAACCCAGGACAAAAGCAGGAGTAGCTATTCCATTTCGACACAAAGTGAACTTCAAGCCAAGACTGATGAAGACATAAGGAAGGTCACTACATCCTTGTAAAGGGAACAATCCAAGAGTAAGAGATAACAATTATAATTGCATGTGCAATGAATACCAGTGTATCCAACTATATAATACAAATATTAATGGGCATGAAAAATCAAATAAGCACTAATACAATTGTATTGAGGGATCTTAATACCTACTGTCACAAGAAGTCAGATCAACTAGACCAAAAAAAATCTATAATGAAATAACAGAACGGAACCAAACTTTTAAACAAATGGTCTTAGTAGATGTTCACAGAGTGCTCCACCCCAAAACATCAGAATATACATTCTTCTCAGCTACACATGGGATGTTCTCCAATAGACCACACACTAGCTCAAAGAACATGCTTCAGTAAATGCAAAGGAACTGAAATTATTCCACACAAATTACCAGACCACAGTGCAGTGAAACTGGAAATCAATGGCAAAAAACCTACAAGAACTTCTTGAACACATGGAAATTAAGTAACACCCTCTTGAACCACCAATGGGTCACAGATGAAATTAAAGAAGACACTAGATAGTGTGTATAATTAAACATATAACAATACAATATACTGGAACTTATGGGACCCAATATGAGCAGTCTTACAAGGGAAATTTACAGCAGTGAACACTCATATTAGGAAAACAGAGTGAGCTCAAATAAACAACTTAATATTGATCCTCAAACTCCTATAGAAAGAGCAAGCAAGCTCACACAAGGGGGGAAATTAGGAAGATCAAAGCAGAAATTAATGAAATGAATACGTAGAAAACAACCAAAAAACAAAAAAAAAACCTCAAATCCACACAATTAGGAATGAAAAGGGTAATATCACAATGGACTCAGCAGAAATCTAGAAGATTTATATACTTACTTCAAGAACTTTTATTCTAATAGGATGGAAAATGCAGAAATCACCAGATTCCGAGATACACAGGAATTACCAAAGCTGACTCAAAAAGACAAAAATCTTAAATGAACCAAAATCAATCAATGAAACTGAAAGTGTAGTTAAAAACAAAAACCTTCCAATAAAGAAAAGTCCAGACCCTGATGGATCCACTGCTAAATTCTATAAGAAATTTAGACAAGGCCTACTACCACTACTTCTCAAATTCTTTAATAAAAGGGAAGCGATACTCCCAAACTCATTCCTTTAAGCAAGCTTTACTCTACCAAAACCAGGGAAGGACCCAACTAAGAAAGAGAACTATATGCCAATCTCCCTAATGAACTCTATGCAAAAGTCCTCAATAAGATACTAGCAAACAGAATGCAGCAAATCATCAAGAAGATTATATACCATGACCAAGGAATGAATCTCAGGGATTTAATGGTTCAACATATGTAAATCAATAAATGTAAAAACCATATTAATAGAGCCAAGAAAAAAACCAGGGCTGGGCATACAGCTCAGCAACACAATGCCTGCCTGGCAAGCACAATGTCCATCTGGAATGAGTCCTAGTACAAAAAACAAAACAAAACAAAAACAAAAAAAACCCATCTCAATAGATGTGGAAAAACCTTTTGACAAAGTCTAATATCCCATTTATGATAAAAAGCCTACAGAAAATTGGAATAGCAGATCTTTACCTTTTTTTTTTTTTTTTTTTTTTTTGGAACTGGGGATTGAATTCAGGCCCTTGTGCTTGCCAGGGAAGTGCTTATTCCACTGAGCCATCTCCCCAGCCCCCCAGATCTTTATCTCAATCTGATTAAAACCATCTCTGACAAAGTAACAGCCACCACCATTCCAAATGGACAAAACCGAAACCTTTCCCTCTAAAATCAGATACAAGACAAGGATGTATACTTTTACCACTCTTACTCAGTATATTTCTGCAAACTTTGAGCAGACCAAGTAGACAAGAAAAAAGAAAAGAGAAAAAATGATAGGAAACGAATAAGTTAAATTATCACTATTTGTGGATGACATGGTCTTCTACATAGAGGACCCCAAAAACTCCACCAATTAAGACTTTTAAATATAATAATCAAATTACAATCAATTACAGGCCAGGGAGATAGCTCAGCAGAATAAGCACTTGCCTGTCAAGTGCAAGATCCTGAGTTCAATCCCCAGTACCACCAAAATTAAACAAATAAAAGTAAAAATAAAAACTCAAGAACACTCCCATACACAAACAATAAACTCAGTAAAAGAGAAAGTAGGGAAACAACACCTTTTACAATAGTATCTCCAAAAATAAAACACATAGGAATCAATCTAATGAAGGAAACTCTACATTACAACCTATAGTACTCTAGGGCTGGCGAGATAGCTTAGCAAACTAAACACCTGCTTAGGTAAGCACAGGGACTAGGGTTCCATTTCTGGCACCACATGCTGTGCCTTCCCCACTCCCAGTGCACTGAGCCAGTCACTGAGTACTGGCATGGTGGCACAAGCTTATAATCCCAGTACTGGGGAGGCTGAAAACAGGAGGATCACTATGAGTCCAAACTGCGTAGTGATGCCCTATACCAAATACACTAAAAAATAAAATAAAAAATAAAAAACCCCCTACAGTACTCTAAGAAAGGAGCTTGAAGAGGATACCAAAAAATAGAAACATGTCCTTTGTTCTTGGGTAGGAACAACCAAAATAGTGAAAATGGCAATAGTTCTAAAATTGTTATATCAAAATTCTAACAATATATCTCACAAAGAAAACAATCCTAGAACTCATATGGAACCAGAAGAGACCTAGAATAGCAAGGCAATTCTGGGCAACAAATGAAAACCGAGAAGCATCACAATCCCAGACTGGAAATTATACTCCAATTTACTGTGGTCAAAACAGCATCATACTAGCAAAAAACAAAATATATCTAAGGACCAATAGAATAGACTAGAAGATGTAGAAACAACTCCATACATACTCAGCCACTTTATCTTTGACAGGTACCAAAACCATTCACTGGAAGAAAGATAGCCTTACTAATAAATGGTGCTGGAAAAAGTGGCTTTGAACGTGCCAAAGATTAAAATTAAAATTTCATGATGCACTAAACTAAAATTGAAATGGAACAAAGATCTAAATATTAAAACAGAAACACTAAATCTGCGAGAGAGAAAATAGGCAGAACTCTTGAAGACACTGGTGTATGCAAAGCCTTGATGAATAAATCCCCAGTTACACAGGAACTATCACAAAGAATCAACAACCAGGATCTCATTAAAAAGTTCTTATACAGCAAGAGAAACCACCAACATAGGGAAGATATAGGCCAGAGACTGGGGAAAAAAACTGCCAGCCATTCCTCAGATAAGGGATTATACTGAGAATGTATAATGAACCCAGAAAAATCAAATCCCCCCCAAATTTAAAGATCCAATCAAAAAAATGGGTATGAGATGAATATGCACTTCTCAGAAGAAGAAGTGCAAACAGTAAATAAATATATAAAAAAAGTTTGAGGGGTATAATTTACTGTAAGTAGTAAATTTCATATTATATATATCGTGCTACAATTTTATAAACAAAGTGGAAAGCAATATGGAATATCAGGAGATACAAACAATCAGTAGAAAACAACACATCAAAACAAAAAGGTACATCCATACAAGGAAATACCATTCACCTTTACAAAAGAATGAGCTATTGAGCCAAGAAATGATGTGAAAAACCTTAAATGTACACTGTGTAAAAGTCCAGCTGAAGGCCAGGTGTGCTGGTGTACACCTGTAATCCCCATACTCAGGAGGCTGAGGCAGAAAAATCCCTGTGAGTTCAAGGCCAGCCTAAACTGCATAGTGAAACCATGTCTCAAAAAAACCAAAAAAAAAAAAAAAGTTCATTTAAAAAGGCTACATTTTGTGTATCTTGTATAATTTCAACCATGTAATATTTTGAAAAAGACAAAATTATGGAGACAATGAAAAGATCAGTAGTTGGCAAGAGTGTGGGGTAGGAAGGAGAGAGGAGTGGGATTCAAGTAATGTTTGGGCAGGGAAACTTTCCCACGTGATGTTCTAGGGTCTTGCTGAGGTCACGGAGCAGGGAGGCCAAGATTTATGCCCAGATCTCTAACACTGAAGTGTACACACTTTCTATCATTCTAGGGCTACTTACTCCAGCTGCTTCAGGAGCTGAAGGAAAAAAAACTGGCACCACTATAAATGCATTGCTACCACCAATTTTAATTGGACCCTCACCTATTCCTTAAAAACAGAAAAGACCATACTGACTACAAAAATATAATTTTCGGGGAAAAACAGGCAACTGAGGAAGAAAAATATTACCTTAGCCTGCCAGAGAATATTGTTAGCCTGTGCCAACTTTTAACTTGACTAACCAGGATCCATGTTTTCACTATTAAGAAAGAATACATACCTGCAATATGATTGAGGAATCTGTCCTCTCTTCCAAAGATGTCCGATGGCTTTATGATCGTGGCTTCTGGAAACGCATCTCTCACTTCTTTCTCTCCAACAGCCTAAACAAGCCAAAAATAAAACTATCCTAAAACACCCTGCCCTTTACTATATCTGTTGGGGTCCTTTCCATTTTTACTCCAGGGGAGCCTATGCTGAAGAAGAAACAGACGCCAGGTCAGGTTTCCCAGCCTCCAGGTTTCTTCCTACTCGCATGGCCTCCAATACGTATAAACAACTGAGCAGCCTCCAGAGCGGCAGCTGCCCAGGCCTCCTCATCTCAGCTGCTGCTACCATCTACTTCCCTCCCAGACAAGCCCGCTTTCCCTCCTCTAGCACAACTGTGGAGGATATCGATGCCCAAGTTAATGTGAACTTTTTTTTTCCCCTTTGGTGGAACCGGGGATTGAACTCAGCCCCTTGCGCTTGCCAGGGAAGTGCTTATTCTGCTGAACCATCTCCCCGGCCCCCTAATGCGAACTTCATAAAGATCTCCAAGCCTCTAGCACCCTCAGCTCAGCTGTGTACCACACACCTAACAGAAAGGGCTTGTCTTTAACAGTGAAGACATCCTGCTCTCTCGGATGACCATCTACACATCCAGCCTGCTTACTGTCTCATCTGCTCTGGGGACACCTGGTCTCCAACCTCCCAGGAACTCTGGCACACTGATTCTGTTTTCCCTACAGTGACTCCTCCTACCTTTCCTGGCCTTCCCTGTGTCCCAGATTAGGTTCCATGGTCCATCTTTTCATTTTCTCACCTACTGTATATTGTAAACTACCCTGTGCCTGCGTCCTTTATCCACCCACCAGGCAAAACCCTAATCTTGCTTTACTTCCACAACTTGAGGAAAATAAATACAAATCACCAATCAGTACCCATATAAATCCATGCCACAGATTTTAATTGGGCTCTTGTTTTTCCCAGAAATACTGTTTTTTTTTCTACTTAATTTATTCTCTCACATATTTCCTTTTTATCCCCCCTCACATAACACTTTAAGGATTTTCTATTTCATTCAAATTTCAGGCTTGTCTCTCTTTCCTCTTCCTTGTAGTAAATGACTTTGCCTTCTAATTCAAGGAGAAAACATAAATGTAAGACAGCAGAAAAGAACTGTGTTCGCAGCCGCTGCAGAGCTGCCTTCACTAATGCCAGCACCGCCTCTCATTCACCGAGCTCCAGCCAAAGGAGAAGGGATAAGGAGGTCCCTGTACTACGGCTTGTACGGCTTGTACGAAGCCGACTGCCAGTAAATCCACCAGTGGTAAAGCGCCCAGGAAACAACTGGCTACAAAGGCCACTTGTAAGAGTGCACCCTCTACTGGAGGGGTGAAGAAACCTCATCATTCCAGGCCTAGGACTTCCGCACTCCGTGAAGTTAGACGTTATCAGAAGTCCTGATTCGCAAACTTCCTTTCCTGCATCTGGTTCAAGCAATTGCTCAGGACTTCAAAACAGATCTGCGCTTCCAGAGCGCAGCTATCAGTGCTCTGCAGGAGGCAGGTGAGGCCTCTCTTGTTGGTCTGTTTGAATATACCAACTCCTGTGCCATCCACGCCAAACGTGTAACAATTACGTCAAAAGATAGTCAACTAGCATGCCACATACGTGGAGAACGTGCTTAAGAGTCCACCATGGAGGGAAACATTTCATTCCTGTTTCATTCTCAAAGTAATTTTTTCTTCTTTTGTTTTTTGGTTTGCTTTTTTTCCCCCCATCGGGTCAAGAGGTACCTAAGTACATGATTGCTAGTGGAAAATAGGGGACAGAAATCAGGTATTAGCAGTTTTCCATTTTCATTTGTGTGTGAATTTTTATCTTTATGCAGAATGTAAAGCATTAATGTAAGTCAAACATGTTTCCGTGAACAAGTTTCAGCACTTCAACTTTATAACAACTATAAATAAAAATCTGTTAAATTTTTCTGGAAAACATCAGCATTTGAGTTTTTAAAAAATAAGCAAATTTCTTATTGACAGCAACTAAATGGTGTTTGTATCACTTCTATCATACAGTGCATTCCATCCATCACTATACTTTTCTGAGTTGTCTTACCTGCTAATACGTGTTTTTAATGTTGTCTCTCTCTCTCTCTGTGCTGTTCTTGTAAGTTTGCTATTAAAACACAGTAAACTTAAAAAAAAAAAAAAAAGATAGCAGAAGAAAACCATCTCAAGCCCTCACCACTAAATTTATCAACTCAGGTGTGTGAAGCCCTGCTGTCTCCCCTCTTCGACCATGACAGAGGAGCAGAGACACATCCAGTGGTCTGGCGCCCCCTTCCTGCAGGGGTCTGAAGACGACCTCCTTCCCCTTCTACAAAACCTGCCCAATTTTGTCTGCCCCATCAGCTCCGTCTTGTTCTCTTTAGCAACACCTCCCGCCACACTTAAGCAGTGGAGATCCTCTACAACCACGATACAAAGGCCCAGCTCCACATCACCTCCCCGCTTATACTTCTCTTCTTGCTCTTCCAGCCAACTGCTTGCAAATGTGCCTGCCCTTCCTGGGTCCGCTGCCTTTGCTCCAGCTCACCCTTTACTTAACTGTCCTCTGGATTCTGAGTTAATGCTTGCACTGAAACCATTTTTAAGGTTAATTTGATAAGATGACCTTAATGTCAACAGATCCAAGACTTTCCAGTTCTCTTCTTGCTTGACTTCTCAGGGGCATGTGTAAATACCTTTTCTCTCCTTCTTGTGACATGTCTTCCCTAACTTCCAGAATGTGCAGCTCCTCTGGCTCCTCTTCTACCTTACCATAGCCACTCTTACTCAGAGTATTTGTTTATATTTGGTTTTTGCGCATGTCTCCTCCTCTATCAGAGAAATAATCATGGTTATCCTTCAAGCCCAGTTCAAGGTTCTCTTCTCAACCTACATTTACTCATGAGGCCATCTCATGCCCTTTTTTTGCCACTCTAACAACAAATGGTGGCTGACTTCCAAATTGCATCTACAAGCTAACCTCTCCTCTGAGCTTCAGGGCCATAACCCCATTTCACCACAGTTACCTTGAAAACGAAGTCCAAAATTGAACCGTCTTCTACTCTCTCAAGTAAAATACCTCCTCAATCTTTGCTGCTCTGGGAATAACTGAGTTTGAAAACGACTAACACTAATATTTTACTCCTAGATATTTTAGTTGGTCTGGGGTACACCCTGGACTTAAGGAATTTTTATTCTTCCCTTAGTGCTTCTAATTTGAAACTAAGGCTAAGAACCCTGCCCCAGAGGCCTAGTTTTTCTCACATATCTGCATCAACAGCACCCTCACAGGGCCTTAAGCCATGAAGCTAGATGGCTTTAGCCCTTCCAAACAGCTGTAAAATCCGAATGAGTCTAGGTGCCAGGACAGAGAACAGCACTCACACTCGTTTTCATTCCCTCTGCCCAAGATGGCCTTCACATGACCTTGGGCCTCCTCCATGCCTACATGAGACAGCTTATGCAGAGAGAAGGTCAGAGGGGACAGAAGCAGAGAACAAAGCTGGAGGCCTGATCCTTGGCACCATCTGTGGCTGAGGTTCTCTATAAACTCTTTAAGCCAGCACAGGCTTTCCTGCTGCTAGTAATGATGTGCTCCTAATAGGTATTATCCCTTCTGTCATCTGCTCCTGTAGCACAGTTTGCCACGTAGTGCACCCTGAACTATTTTCCCCAGGGAACCAGAACCTTACTAGAGACTAGGATTAGGTCTATTTTATTGACCAATGTATCCCCAGTGCCTAACAGAATATGTGGGCACAAAGTCAGTGCTTAGTAAACTATATCGGATAAATGAATACAGTGAGTCAAAAGGCTGCAGCCCTTTTCCAGGCCTCAACTGTGCTTATTGGTATGATTACAGATGGGCTCACAATCGCAGGAGGCACGTGCTAAGGGCAAAGTGGACCTTCATACTCCTTGTCAGGCCCTAAGAATGAAGACTCCAGAACACAGTGGTTACCCATTGGCTATAATCTGGACTGGTTTCTGGGAAAATAAAAGACCAAATTCTATGTGAAGAATCATTTTCCTTAGCAGATATTTATCCCTCTCCTTCTCAGTCTGCGTGTCACCTATGATAGGAACCTGTGACTACACAAGAAGCCTAAGAAAACTGGTCCTTCACCCACAGCAGAGGTGACACAGGTAAGCTTCCTTTGGTGGCATACATACTTTATCCTTCGGGTGCTTTCTGTGTCCTTCTATCGGATCCCAGAGCACTGTGTAGCATCTGAGGGCAGGTGGTGATACAGTCCGCCCATTCTTGAAGCCTCTCAGCCTTTAAGTGCAAGATGTTGAACCAAAATGCCCGAACACAGCATATATACATAAACCCAATGCTGGGGGAAGAGAAGCCCTCTGAATTTTCAACACACTGATGAGCAGGAACCACGAAGCTCTAGCTCTGAGAGGCAGCTGCCTGATGAGCTTGTTAGTTACCTTATTTCTCAGGTATCTAGAAGAGCTTTTAATGTCAGCATTCAGATGAGAAATATGAATTAGTTTTTCAACTCCAGCTTCCTTGGACGCTTGAGCTATTGCTTGGGGAATCTTCACAAAAACATCCTCAAAATCAAAGTTTCTGGAAGAAAAAACAAAAGATTAGTTTTAAGATTCTCCCCTGACTCAGAATTTCAAAGCTTTCTGTGACATGCTAGTTTTTACAACAGTACTAGAATTCAAAAAAACTTGTAAACAGTTATGCTTTAGTTCTAAGTCAAAACTAATGTTTCTAAAAGTTGACAAGCCAGCTCACTGTCCTTACTGTACCTATATTCTGTATTCCCAAGGAATTCTGAGGCTGAAGCCCTTTGAGAAAATCTGGCTTTCTAGGCACGGTGGCACATGGCTATAATCCCAGTACTTGGGGGGCAGAGGCAGGAAGACCACAAGTACAAGGCCAGCCTGGGCTTCACAGTGAGTTCAACACCAGCCTAAACTACATAGCAAAACCCTATCTCAACAAAAAGAAAAAGAAAGAATAGTTGTACGGTTAGTGATGAGGAAGGAAATGTTGGGAGCTAGAAAGAGCTGTGCTTCTTTCCCACACTTTATTTTCCTTAAGGTTAAAAAAAGAAAAAAGGGCATCATGCAAAGCATAATATTAACTATGTTTACTGTGTACACATCACCGTATTAGTCATTAGAGGAGATATAAAGTTAAACAAGATCCTACATGTCATCAAAAAATTTGAAAAACATATACTGAAAAAGGCAGATATATGCAAATCTAAGTCAACCTTTAACAAATGCAAAAATAGTGTGGTACTATAAGATAAAAACATTATTTGCTGGTAATTCACATGGCTAAGCAGACTTGTACCAACTAGTACATACATTATCTTTCAACTATTAATGGGCAAAAACAATATAAAACGTCCACACAACAAAAACCTGTGTTCTGCTTGCTGAACCACAAACCAGGCAAAATCCAACTTCCTAACCCTACCCCAGATGGACAGATCCAAGCACAGGTCCAACTCTGGTCCTGGGCAAGTTGGCAGCACCAACCACTATGCCAGACATGGACCACCATCTGCCGTGACCTCCACACACTGATAACCACACCAGCACTGTACAGAAACAGCACACTCCTGCCTCATACCACACACAGCCTCCATGAAGTCCAGGGCTGTCGCTGGGACGTACATGGACACCCAATCAACACTTACTGATGAGCTAATTAAAAATGTCACTACAGGGCAAGGATATAGCTCAGCAGCACTGTGCCTGCCCAGCAGGTACAAGGGCCTGAGTTTGATTCCCAGACTCCCCTCCCCAAATAAAAGTCACTACAATACAAAGAGATGTCACTGAAACCTCAGACAGAATTATGCCAAAAAAAAGAAAAAAAAAAAAAGAGAGAGAGTCGAAAACTCACGTGGTTTCCCAGTCCCGTCCAACAAGGTTGATGACCACATTGCTGTGCTGCACTGCTCTTCGGATAGACTCTTTGTCTCTTGCATCCCATTCCTGTTAACAGTCAGGGGAAAACAGAGGGCACACGTGTGCTTAGCACTTCGGTGGCTCCCTACGCAAGGCTCAGAGTGGGCCATCTGTGTCGTCTTACAATAGTGCCATCTCACACAGGCTCCGAAGGGTACAACCAAAATGGTCAAAGCCCATTTTACTCAGGTAATCAAATGAGACAAAGGGTACTGCTCAGATTGAATGGAACATATTGTCAACTCAAGTGCTCTCCATGTGGCTAAAGGAGTCTAGTGATCAAAGTCTCCGCAACACAGCCAAAGAACAAGAGACCACTGAGGAGGGAAGAGACTTCCTCTTGTTGGCACCAAGCAGTGACAGATTAAAGTCAGAGGAGTATCTTTTAAAGGTTAGCATCAAATTCACAGCATTCCCAACTGCAAATTTTCTTTCTTCTTCTTTTTTTTTTTTTTAAAATAGGTCTCACTACACAGCTCAGATTCATGTAATCCTGTTTTCAGCCTCCCCGGCACTGGGATTACAGGGGTGTGCTACCATGCCTGGTCTCGACTGTGTACTTTCTTATATTTTGTTGGGGTTTTTTTAACTGCTATTTTATAAACTCAGATCTAGTAATTTCTACTCTAAAAATATGAAATAGTCCAAATGTAATGGTTCACACCTGTAATCCCAGCACTCTGTTGAGCTGAGGCAGAAAAATTACAAGTTCAAGTCCAGCAAGAGCAAATTAACAACTTAATGAGACCCTGTCTCAAAATAAAAAATAAAAATGGTTAGGGATACAGGTCAGTGCAAAGGCCCTGCATTCAAACCCCAAAACAGGGTGGGGAAAGACCTGAAAACAAGAGTCAGAGAGAAGCGCACTGCCTAACCCCTGAGGTTCTAGCACAGAACGATACTCCTATGCAGTTCATAAATGACTGAAAATTTAAGTCAGGTTGACAAACCTGCCCAAAACAGTAACTAGGGATTAAGTAATCCCAGAAAAAAAGGCTATACTAACAAACAGAAATTGAACCTTTTGACCACTTTAATGGAAGACAGTGAAAAGAATTTCATAGGGCTGAGTACTAGACAGAAAGTGGACATGAATGCCTTCAAACTTCTGTGCAAGTTAGGAAACAGGGAGATCAGCTTCAAGGGCAGAAAGATGAAATCCCAGCAGGAAGGATGGGCTAGAGCTGCTGATGGACAGCAGAGTACAGAAAACTGCAGAGTGGGAGTGTTAGAGTCAGACAGAAACACAGCCCTACTTTGTTGTATGTGTTTGGTCTGCTGCTGACTTTGGACAAGTTAGCTCTCCAAGCCCCAAGTAAATTAGAAAATGCAACCTACCTCATGTGGCAGATCAAATGAAATACAGTAAAACCTGCAGCACAGTGA